AAGTTTTTTTTATGCAGCGGATGCCCTTCCAGCCGCAACCCATCTCTGGGAAACATCCACACACACACTCATACACTATGGGCAATTTAGCTTACTCAATTCACCTGTACCACGTCTTTGGACTGTGGGGGAAACCGGAGCACGCAGTGGAAACCCACGCGAAGGCAGGGAGAACATGCAAACTCCACACAGAAACGCCAACTGAGCAGAGGTTCGAACCAGCGACCCAGCGACCTTCTTGCTGTGAGGGGACAGCACTACCTACTGCGCCACTGCCTCACCAAGAATGGAGATCAAAGTTTGAAATTTTTCCAGATTCCTTGATTCTTTTAATTGTTATGCACTGTTGAAGGTGAGATATCCAAATGTCCCCCAATCTTTTGAAGGATTCGGATTTCTGCTTTACAATCCGTCTCATCATGGACCAACGTTTATCCTTTTCTCATCATCTTGTTTCTCATAATTTTTTTATTAAAAATAATTATTTGATCATTTGAATGAGTATTTAACTTTGAATTGATTTTGATTAATGAATAAGTTAACACATTGCTTAATATAAGAATGTTCAGTGCATTTGCCTGTCTCTTTATAACTATTTTCAGAAGCCACCAAACTAGGTCAGAGGTCACGGAGACGTTGAGTGGAGCTGAGGGCTGAGGACTGGAAGCAACTGTTTCTATTGTTATTTCTAGTAGTTATTACTATCTAAAATGTCTAAAGTGATTTTGCTATTTTTACGGTTAAATCTTTTAAAGTGATTCTACTTTTATTCAAGATAGACTTTGTATAGTAAGAATATAACTGCCTGAATGTAGATTATACCAGTTTTTAACCAATTTCGATAAAGACGGGTGACAGTACACTCAGCCTTGGATAAGAAACAGATTATACTTTAAGTGTGTGTGTTCTATTTGATTGTTGATCCGGTTCACAGGTCTGGAGTCAGCTCTAATCAGTCTAAGGGATGTCTGACGTTTATGCTTAAGATAATGTTCAGAATTGTACGCACAAACCCCACGTGGAAATGTTCCTAGTCTATCTGCGTTTTAATCAATCAGGTTAGAACACCTATATGTATGACGCAGTTAATGACGTTATGTGAGAGTATAATTGTTATTGATTGGTGATTGTAAGCAGAGCTGCCTAGGAACTCATTGTGAGTGTTGAAGCTGGCTTCTGTTGATGTGACTGCAAACTATCTTCAGTTAACTTGATTTATTTATTTAAATCTCTGACTCCGGCTCTTCTTCATCTACCAGACTGGTCATTCTTTGGGTCAAACTGTAAACTATCCCTACAGTTTCTTTGAGGAACATTGTTTATAAACATTTCAACAGTTTTCTTGTGTATTTGTTGGCAAACTGGCGATCCTCAGCCCATCTTTGCTCCTAAAGGACTAGACCTTTCTTGGATGCTCCTTTTGTACCATAATTACAATCACCTGTTGACATCACCTGTTCATTTTAAATCATTATTTAACCAATTTACCTGATTACTCATTATAAATTGCTCCTGTCCCCGACTATTTTGAAATGTGTTGCAGGTCTGAATGACAGGAAAGGATGGATATTTACTAATAAAAATAAAGTTGACCAGACAAACCGTGAATTATTTTGTGCTCATATTGTCTGCAATGAATTTTTTATTTTCATTTACCTTACTGTCTCATCTTTTTGCCGATATGGGGTTGAACTTGCCAGAGTAAATGCACTAACTTGCTAAATGTAAAGCTTGTGAAACGAAAAACATCTCAGCCTTCTGTGAACAATTCTACAATATAAAAAAAGTCAAGAAGATCAAATGTTTTGCAAATCTCCAGTTTCCACTAATGAGATCAAAGAAGCTGTTGAACACTTAAAACTTAATAAATCACCAGGTAGTGAGGGAATCACCTCTAAATTTCACACACATTTTTCTGTCTTGACTCATGATTACTGTGATCGCTTCAGGGTTTCTGCAGGTTTCACCAAATCATATTTAAGACTCTTTAAGACTCTTATCTTTTTAAGACCAAGGAGAATGAAATTTCAGACTTGTATAGGGCTTAGACACTAAGGATTTTTTAATGGTCCAGCAGAAAAACAAAGTCAATTCTTAGCCACATTTTTAAAATAATGTGTCAAAACAAGCAGACCTTAGTTTTATACGTAGATTTTTGTTCAACATAACTTAAAAAACTCTTTAAAAACTAAATGTTTGCCCAACAGACTACAGTTATAATATTAGTTATGATGAGTTGTTTTGCTTAAAGTTTTATTGAGAGTGTTGTTGGTGATTGGATGTGTTTTGGATCGATTATATTTACATAAACAAAGGAAAATTAAAACCTGTTTAAAATTATACAGTATAAGATATGTTTTTGAAATTGAAAACTTTTTAAGACCCTGCGGACACTGTGTAGCTTTAATTGCTCTTCACTACCTCCAACTTTCACTCAAGGAGTAATTAGTTTAATCCCCTAAGAAAGATTCATTACTTTTAGATAATTGGAGACCTATTCGTTTATTGCAGGGCTTCCCAAACTTTTCAGCCTGCGACACCCAATATGACGATGCCAGTGACTCGCGACCCCCAATATCCTGGTTATGAATACAGAAACCTTACATGCAATGTCACACATACACCAATACACCCAGGTATATTCTTTGTTTAATGTCAGTGCTGTAAATGGGCCAGATACTTTAACCTGGTGTTATAAAATCAATCTGCTGCATCTGACGCTATGGCTGTGTCTTTAATATAATGTATTTACCACTGGGGTCGCAATCCAATAGAACTAGTAACTATAAGCTACTATAGTAACTATATAGTAATTATAAACGACTATATTTTTTCTCTTCTGTAGGTTATTGATAAAATATGGTCATTCTTATATGATTTAATAATAATAAATAGATTTTTTTAAATCACCAGGCGACCCCCCTTCATTGTCCCGCGACCCCTCGAGGGGTCCCGACCCCCACTTTGAGAACCCCTGGTTTATTGAACAATGTCTACCCTGATTTTTGGCCAAAGATTCAAATCAGTGCTTGATTCAATAATAAATGAAAATCAATCTGTTTTATGGGTGAGAGACTTATATTTAACAATATTAGACTAGTCTTTGACCTAATTTATTACAATAAACTCATTAAAGATGACAGTTTTATTTTGATTTTAGACTTTTTTTAAAGCCTTAGACACTTTCGAGCATCCTTATATTTTTTCATTGCGTAATTAGTGTTGGGTTTGGCTCTACAGGTATCCAATGCAATAAAAAGGTGCTAATGGAAATAGTTCCGTGAAATCAAGTCAAGGCTTTACTAAAAAAAAATTGTTTAAATAGAGGCATAAGGCACGTTTGCCCAGTGTCAACTCACCTTTTTCTTAATGTTACTTTTACATTTTGCCATTTCATTTCAAGGCGAGATCTTTAGAAGCTAAAGATAGATGCTTTTTAATCACTCAAAGCTGATGACACTGCCAGTGTCAAATCAGTAAATTATCTAAATTGTTTTCTAATGCATCAGGATTATGCCTTCATTTACATAAATGTGAATTATTTGCTTTACAAAATTTGTCAAGATAAATTTATTTGCACTATTCCTATTAAAGTATCTCAAAAAATGAAAGTGATAGACTCTCTCTTAATTTTAATCTCTTTCTTTTCAGCTTAGTCCTTTTATTAATCAGGGTACACCACAGCGGAATGAACCACCAATTTATCCAGCATATGTTTTTACGCAGTGGATGCCTTTCCAGCTGCAACCCATCGCTAGGAAACATCCATACACACTCATTCACACACATAAACTATGGACAGTTTAGATTGCCCAATTCACCTGTACTACATGTCTTTGGACTGGGAAAACCGGAGCACGCAGAGGAAACCATTATATTTTTCATAAGTCATTATGTAACTTTGGGGATTCAATGCCTGCCCCACCAGAGCCACCATGACAACCCTATATGTAACTTATTAATTCAAAGGTAGTACAGATATCAAATTAAAACCACCCAGTAGTTGGACAGCATCTTAATTTATCCAAACAAGAACCTAAATAAAACTTTAATGGATCAGTAAATAATAAATGATGGAACTGATTGCATTTATAGATGAAGTGCCCCTAATATGAGAAGATTTGATAAAGTATTTTACTCTGAACATTTACATATAACAGACAATATAAATGTATATTCTTGGCAGCATCAAAATTAAAATAAATCCATTATTTAGGAAATAAACTGAATTAATAAGTGGTTGCAAAAATATGAAGAGCAATAACCATCTGAAAAAAGTGCCATCTGAAATTTTCTTCTAAAATTAAACTTTTTAATTTTTTGAGACTTTTTTTTATTTATGTTCACTTAATTCAGATTAAAGGCAAGGAAAATAACGTACTAATTGACAAAAAGAAATTCAGATGACAGAGGTTTAAGCATCTGAACTATTCATGTACTTTCCTTGATAATCAGCTTATTCCTGTTACTGTCGCTGTTTTACGTCAAAAATGGCTACAATAGAAAGCTGAGGAGATTAAACACCAGTGAATATGAACATTACAGTGGTTTTAGGGAATTAAAAAAGAGTATTTGGAGAAAAACATTTACACTTGGTGACCCTGCTGTATTTACGGCCAAATAATTTCTACAGTATTAAGCTATAATTTAAATTAATGTATGAAATGTATATTATTTATAATATAAATATGAAATAACTAAATGTAATAACAAATATTATATAAAATTGATGCCGACAGAAAAATAAAATATAAATAAAAATATAAAAATAGTTCCACCTATACACGAACTGATTGATGTAGGCCACGTGATCGATATAATAATAATAGTAGGCTTTGTGGTTAATAATATATTAATATGGCAATACAGAGAAAAAAAATACGTTTTCATAACGTGTACGGTTCTCGCACATGTAGCCTGTGTTTGACACACATATGTAAACCACGTGCGTTTAGGGCGAGCAAATAAACATTTTTGAATAAACAATCACGCAGCAGAGTGATAACCACGCCCAAAAGTGAGGTGGCGTCATTGTGACAAGCGAGGGTCTTGTCAACACACCACACCGGCGAATCTTTCCCCTTCGCCGTGAAATGCCTAAATGATTTCCTTTCTATAGGCGCTTCTGACTGAGGAAACCCCTATGGGAAAACCATATTTTTGGAGCTGCGTCTAAACGGTCTGTCGATACATTGACTAGTGTTTATTTATCCCTTCAGGTTCTTGAACACTTACAACATGCGTCAGTGTTTCTTGGGACTTTTCTGTGCGGCATCGCTGCTTGTGACTGTCAAAGGTTTGTATTGACTTAAATCCCTTTTATTCTACATATGGCTACGTAGCGAAAGCATTGCTCGCCTTAAACTGCTTTAAGTGATATATTAAAATGCTGTCATTTGAGTTCGAAAGCTAATTCATTGCTGTGCCCTATGAATAGGCTACTGAGCACGTGTATCGGCCAGTGCAGTGCATTTGTTTTTTGGATCTGTATGTCTATGCAGTTACAGCTAGGACAACACTGTAACACTTATTGTAAAGAGTCTAATGTTGATATTTCTACAAATGTGTTCCAATATGTTTACTCTTGCCCTTTCAGATAACTAGTTAAAGACACACATTACTGTCCAGATAGCATATGTGGGCCACTTTAGGCAGTTATGCAGCACTGATGGTATTCTTTTGACCCAGAAAAAAAGGATGTGAGCCTGAAGTGGCCCACCAATGGCAAAAGGTGGACAAATATTCAAATTCATAAATGGGCCATTTAAGGCAAAGATTTGGCACTAATGGGAAAATGCAATCTAAATGTGAGCCTTATGTGGCCCATGTGGAAAATGATCAATTTGGCCCAAATGATGGAGGACAAATGTGGGCCACAGTTGACTAAAATGCAGCATAGTCACTCAAGTGTAATCTGGGTCTAATCCTAAAGTGGCTCACACGTGTACAAATATGACCCAGTTATGTTAAGACATATAGTTGAAGTCAGAATAATTAGTCCCCCTGAATTATTAGACCACCTGTTTTTTTTTTTTTTTTTACCTAATTTCTGTTTAACAATGAGAAGATTTTTGACACATTTCTAAATATAATAGTTTTAATTACTCATCTCTAATAACTAATTTATGTTATCTTTGCCATGATGATAGTATATAATATTTTAGTAGATATTTTTAAGACACTTCTATACAGCTTAAAGTGACATTTTAAAGGCTTAACTAGGTTAATTAGGCAGGTTAGGGTAATTAGGCTATCAAAAAAAATTAGCTTAAAAGGGCTAATCATTTTATAATTCTTACCCTCAAATGTGTTTTAAAATTAGAATTAAAAATGCTTTTATTCTAGCTGAAAACAAAACAAATAAGACTTTCTCCAGACGAAAAAATATTATCAGACATGCTGTAAAAAAATGTCCTTGCCCTGTTAAACATCAATTGTGAAATATTTAAAAAAAGAAAAAAAAATGAAGAGGGGGGCTAATAATTCTGACTTCAACTGTACGTGTGCCACTTTTGGCAAATATTTGGCAGAGTAAACTCTGGCTAATCTGGCTGTGAGCCTAATGTGGCCCAGAGAAAATATGGTGAATGTGGCCCAGTTATTTTAAAACATATGTGGACCACTTTTGGCAAATATTCGGCACCGTAAACTCTGGCTAATGCAGCCGTTAGCCTATAGTGGCGCAGAGAAGGTATAGAAAATGTAGCCCAGTTATCTTAAAACATAAGTGGACCACATAGACTAAAGTCACCCTCATTGAGAAAAGTGTTTGCTTTAGTTAGGCTCTTAGCCCTGAACCTCTTAATATAATTTTTTTTTGGGCTGCTGTAACATTTAAGAACTTTGTTTGAAAAGTTTATTCATTACAGCTAACAAGCCAAGTAAAAATACAATTAAATTAAATTGAGGCACATAACCACATAACCACAATTTATATCATTATAAAGATAAGTGTGTTCATGTAAACCCTATAAATGAGGACTTTTCCCTCAATCCCCGTATCCAGCAGACTCAGTGCAGCAGGTCTCCTGACCTGTCTATTTTAACTGTTAGCCCTGCTGGTAATCTGGAGGATTTAGGCAAACACAGCAGCACGGTGATGTGTCTGAATGTGAACGAACTCCTGATAAAAGACAGCGTCCGCCATTCTCTAATTCTCGTGCTGCTCCCCTCGACAAAAATGCTAGCAGCACACACACAGCTTTGCTGTATGATCGGCCCTGACAAGATCGCGGGGGAAAACATGCAACAAACCCTGTGGATCATGGAAACAAACGCATATGAGCCTTCATGAACGGCTAAAAACTGTGTGCTTGGGTCCGTGTCTCACAGCTCGGGCTTGACTCTGGCAGGTCTCATGAATAATTAAGCAGCCGGCTCTTCTCATAGGATAAGAAAACTCCGCTATGAATAATAATGAGAAACCGACGCGTCATCATTGCACTTGCAGTTCTGCGCTACGTCGCCGATTTTGATCCCGCCCCAAAAATCATTTTAAACCCGGAAGCTGAAATTAGCTGACAAAAGCTCAAAATTATCCAGTTTTTCCCACAATTAAAGCTGACAGGTGCTAACATTGTCTTAACTGATGCTCAACACACACACATCTGTTAATATATAAAACAAAGTTCTCCAGTGTGTCCTGAACCTTTAACGACTAACAGCGCATCATCTATGATGTAAGTGTGCCCAGGTGCATATTAATTGGGTAAGAATAAAGGCATTGTAAAAAAAATGTATTGTGTATTGTTTTTAGAAAGGTTTTCAAATGTGTTCATGAGGAATGTGCTTTAAGTTGAATGAGAATAGATAAACATCTTTTGTTATTAAACAAACAAACTACTAAAGACTCAGTCTTCTACAAAAGCTAAAAACATTTTATCTTGCATGCAGTTGGTCAGTAAACTCAATTAAATTTCAATTTCAATTTTCAATACAGAGCAAACATTTTTTCAACAATCAAGACAAGTCCTAACATCAGACTGCATTATCTTTTTTTTAGTATGTCAGGATCCAGTGTGCATTATTCTGTGTTCTAAAATGTGTTCAACAGGTATAAATGCTGAATGTCCTCTTAAGATCATGCCAACAAAACTTGTTGTGAGGTTTAATAGTTCAGCTTCAGCTGACTGCAGCACTTCTGTCACACATGATGGGATGGGATGGGAATCCACTGTGGGAGGAGTGCCCCTGTCCAAAGCTAATCTGATCACATGGAGAGTGTCACAGCTGACATACTGGGAGATACAGCCACCATACTGCTACATAAACTATGGCAAACAGTGTGAAGTAGCTCTCCCAGTCACTATTTACAGTGAGTTCCTCTCTTATTATTATCTGCCTTTTCATTCTCAGAAATCTCTAATAAATGTAGGCTGATGACTGCAGGTATCAGAGTGTGTGAATCTTCCTCCACAGAGACTCCAGACAGTGTTTCCATCAGCACTGTGAATCAAATAATGATGGAGGGAAACCAGTATGAGCTCCAGTGTGACATTCACAACGTTGCTCCTGCTCAGAATCTCACTGTCAACTGGTACAAAGGAGAAACTCTGGTGAATCAAACCAGCTTTTCTGACACAATCAAGAGACCAGTCAGTAAAACATCTAAACTCATGATCCATCCAGACAGAGCTGATGATGGAACTCAGTACAGATGTGAAACAGAGCTGAACCTGGGAGAAGAAGGACCTCAACCTCATCCCAAAAACACATCAACACCTCTCAGCATTGAAGTTCACTGTAAGCTTATATACTGCTAAACTTGCAAATTTGATTTAGATCCATTATGAGTTATCGAGTATGAGTAACACATTGACAATAAACAATTTGATTCATATAGTGCACAATGGGTTTAATTAATAGATTAAAAAATTATCAGTTACACCGTAATTTCATTGATGTATTGATAGCAGCTGCTCATCATGTCTTTGCTGTAGTGCTGAGAAATGTTCCTCTGTCCTCCTCAGATAAACCAAAACACTCCAGTTCAGCAGAGTACATCAGTCAGAGCGATACTGTCTATCTAAACTGTACAGTGAAGGCAAACCCGGCTGCTGTGTACACATGGCACTCAGAGCATCTGACAGAGAAGATCAGCTCCTCAGTGATCCAGTCTTCCACACTCAGTCCAGGAAACTACACCTGCACCGCCACAAACGATCTGGGAGCCGACAGCAAAGAGTTCATCGTCAGTTCTGCAGGTCAGCTTTGATTGAATTAACACTAATTCCTTTAGCTCCAGCATTTGTCGTTCATTGTTTATTCACGTTTGATTGAAAGATTTTGAGAAGTTTTTGAGCTGATATCCACGATTTTTGCAGTCAGTCTGAGCAAAACATAAAATAACTGACTCCTATTGGACTTTACTGAGTAGAAGAAAAGCAACCACTGAATAACTGAGCTCACGCGTGCCCTCTTTAGTAAGGCAGAGCTACTCAGAGCCTCACCTCTTGTCTTTTCAGTGTGGCTGTATGTCAGATTCTTACACTAAATAAGTGATAGACATACTTGAAATACATGACCTATTATATGGTGAGTAAGGACATATAATAAAAATCTCCACAATGTATAATAACATTTTAATAAAGCTTTAGATTAGCAGCATACACCGAGTAAGCAAAAGGGGCGGGCTCAAGGCAGTTTGCAAGAGATTGTGCAATAGGGTATATGGCGAGCTAGTGTTTTTCCCATACTGATTAACTTCCGGTGACCAGTTATTGTGAACTTTTTTTCCATTTTATACGGTTCCTTTTACAGCATTGATGTTGTAATGTCATTAAAATACATTCAGTTAAATAAACTTTAGCATTTATTTAGTTGCTCAAGCGTAAAACAAGACAAAAAGCCGTTTACTTGCACGCCCCCGTCAGAATCGGCAGGCTAGCACAGAAGCTCCATTAAATATACTGAGGTAAAAGAAATGCTCATATTATAAAGACATGGCGGGGTAAAATGTAATTTAATGCAGTGCTTCTTGTACAATCTGAGACTTACTTTATATCGGATATCACTCAGCTAGTGGAGATTGCTGATTTTTAAAGAAAGCAGACCTTAAACGCGCCGGTTTTTGCATTGGTATACAGTTCACCGGAAGCGCTTAACCCAGGTTACTGGCAAATTAAAAGTCCTATTAGCATGCCTCGGCATATACCCTATCTGACATGAGGCAGAGCTTGGTGCTGCCTCACCTCGCTTCCTACGCTGTAATTAAACAGGAGATACGTGAAATGCAACGATCATAAAACTTATTGAAATCAGTTGAATTATACAGAAATTGCATTTATAGCACAGATCAGTGGACAAACATTTATTTTATCATTAGTACTTATCTCATAATGACAGGTGAGGATGATGACAGGTAAAGCACTGCCTCCCCTGACTGCACGTCCCTGTCCTACACATACAGTTGAAGTCAGAATTGTTAGCCCCCCTTTGAATTTATTTTTTATTTTTTAAATATTTCCCAAATGATGTTTAACAGAGCAAAGAAATTTTCACAGTATTTCCTTTAATATTTTTTTCCTCTGGAGAAAGTCTTATTTGTTTTATTTCGACTAGAATAAAAGCAGTTTTTAATTTTTTAAACAAACTTTCAAGGACAAAATTATTAGCCCCTTTAGGCTATTTTTTTAACAAACCATCGTTATACAATAACTTGCCTAATTACCCTAACCTGCATAGTTAACCTTAATAACCTAGTTAAGCCTTTTAATGTCCCTTTAAGCTGTATAGAAGTGTCTTGAAAAATATATAGTACAATATTATTAACTGTCATTTTGGCAAAGATAAATTTAAATCAGTTATTAGAGTTAAATTATTAAAGCTATTATGTTTAGAAATGTGTTTAAAAAAAATCTTCACTCCGTTAAACAGAAAACGTGGAAAAAAATAACAGGGGCGTAAAAATTCAATGGGGCTAATAATTCTGACTTCAACTGTATATAGTCCTGGTTGGTCATTAAGATCATCAGATCATTCTTTTCTGTCAGGACCCGATGTAAGCGAATATGGGGTCGTGCTTTTGCTGTTATCGCTCCAAAGTGCTTCAATAAGCTTCCACCTCACATTAGCCATGCTCCAACTTCACTTTACTTTAGGTTTTTTAAAACCTTCTAAAATTGCATCTTCATACTTAAGCAACGTTCTGTATGTTTAGTGTTGACGTGCATTAATTTGTCACCTGATTTCTCTGCCAGCCACTAGATTTCCATTGATTTCTTACATGCTTCAGACGCTGACACAAGCTGAAAACTTCCTGTTGCATCAACACAATGACACCAAATCTCATACCTTTCTAATGGTTCTATGATCCTATTTGTAAATTGGAGGCCTTTGGCATCATTATGTCTAATGTAACAGAACGACATCTGCAATTCCATTTAGACACTTTGTGGAAACTGACTTTTTTAACACAAGTCATTTCAGGCTTTTAACTGAAAGCCTATTTTATAGGTTGGCCTATAAAATGTTATCCCTGAAACACTACTTTTAAAAATGAATTCATCTCACAAATGTCGACATAGGCTTGTATTAATTAAAAAATATATCTATTTTTAATTTGAACAAAAACTAAGGATGCACCGATTCCCGATATTTGGATCTGATATCGGTTTGATAACGCATATTTTTACTGGATTGGGTATCGGCCAGCTGGTACCGATCTAAATACCATGAAGGTAGCCTATTATAAGGCACTAGAAAGTTGTCATGTATGTCTGCTATATGCCAAATTTTCTGAAGCCTTTTTATAGTTTAATGTGAAGCACAGATGAAAATTCAAGTAGTTAACTTCATGTTCAATTCAACGCTTCCCGCCGCCACGACTGTCAATCATTCAATCATTCGCATGTCGAAAAGGCTCAATCCGCTTGTTAAGTGATGCATCAAGCTCTTCATTCACACACCGACTGCACAGACGCGCTGTGCGCCGCTTTATAGGATTATTCTCACAATGAATTTCTGTTCTCTCATCCTTCTGACTGAGTTTATACCTCCAAGAGGAATACTTTCAGTGCTGTGAATAGTTTGCATAGCCTGGCTCATAGTGGTCAAATTAATTGATTAAATTAGTAAAAGTGAATCTGACGGGCGCAAGATCATTAACAGAAAAGGGAATGTTTATTAGGTAAAACTGGCCTTTTTAATTTAGTTTGAGTCAAACCTGCAGGAAAATATCAGGCTTTGTTTAAAAGCTGATTATTTTACCAACAATAGGGTCATTAAAGTGGTAGCCTATTATAGATCACAAAAAAATTAAAAAAGGAAACATAAGCTGGAGCACAAGAGATCAACGTCATAACGAACGCTCAAGTAATGTAGCCTAGTTTACAGCAAGCATCATGGTTTTAGTTAGATTGTGTCATCTGTCAGTAGGCCTATGGGTTTGTTTGTTTTTTACTAAAGAAGATATATTATTTGAGTTTATCACCAGAACTAAACCGTATTATGTTTAAAAAAAACTGCACAGTATCGGGATCGGATATCGATACTCAGAAGTTTGATATCGGGATCGAATTGGTTAAAAAAAAAAATGCTATCGTGCATCCCTAACAAAAACCCTGAAAATGAGTACGTAAGCTAGCATGTGTTTGTACTATTTTAGCATGGTTATACAAGTTGATTATCTTTTATCTCAGTTTTAATTCATTATAAAGTTCATTCTTTATCTACAGGTTGTTTTTGCTGTTTCGAAAAAATCTTCACATTCACATTTAATTATTTAACAAGCACTTTAGTCAAATGCAAATAAGGAACAGTTCAACAATAGTCTTCTGTAATTATCCGTCTAGTGGTGTTATGTTCCTGCCAGGCTGTTCCAGGACGACCGCTGCTCTTTGTTTGTAATAAATCAAGTAGAGTCCTGCTTTTGTTGAGGAAGCTGTCGATGCATTCATCTGATGATAAAACCAGCTATGTCATTTCTCCCACAGGCTGGACCACAATATGGGCTATTGTTATAGCTGCTGTCGTGTTGGCAGTCCTGTTGGCAGTCATCTCTTTTGTAGTATTCAAGATTAAATGTCGTCAAAACTATGCTGTTCAATGAACTTGCAAGAGATGACCCCAATGCAGGAACGTCTCTTCGTGGAGATCCTGAAAAACTTGAATGAGTTCCGTTCTATCAGCTCAACAATGGAATCCGATGAACGGTCTACTTAGGTTAACTGTGTGTAAGACTTTTCTTCTGAAAATAATTTTCTTATTTATTTATTTATTTTATTTATTTGTTTGTTTGTTTCCAGCTACGAACGTAATTAGACTCCAATTTTAACCGCTCATTAAATTTTGACTGTTTCTGATTAGTAACGAGTCACATTCATCAAAAGTTAATACATTTGGATATTCAGTTATTTCAGACACGCTATACTTTCAGGTATTTGTTTATTGTTGACCAATTGTCGTATTGAGTCCATGCGTGGCCAATTTACGTCTGCACGGCTGGGCTCACAAGCTCGATTCTTAGTCAGATGTTTGCAGGCAACTGGCCCCCCAACTGCTTGCTCTTTGACAGAAATGGTAGTCTACCAAGTCTTTTAACATGCAACCTGCCAGATCAAGTGATTAGTAATCAAAAGGCCTACAACAAAGTGCCCATCGCTCCATTTACTCGTGATCCAAATATCTAAAATCAACAAAAAGTGCTTAAAATTCTAAAAGCCTGATATATTGTAAGATTTAAATTTTTAAAAGCCATTATGTTCTCACATTTTTATATTATTGTTTGTGTTTATTAGGCAGTATTCTGTAGTAAATGGTCATTTACACTAATGGATGACCTACTCATGGTACACATGTAATAATAGAAATAATAATAATAATAATAGTCTGTTCCACAAACTATTGTTTAGAAATTGTACTGTAGGGATATTTTACAGATTGAACCCAAGGAATGACCAGTCCAAGTTTTATCCCAGAGAACTTTACAGGCCTCTTACACACCTATCAACTGAGTAACTTAACTCTGGGTGGAGTAGGAACACCTTTCAATTACTGTTATCTGTATGAGTATCGTTATTGGTGTACCATAAAAATGCACCAGCTCTCTACGGGATTCCACACAAATCTACCCTAAATTTGGTGAATCCACCGACGCCTTTCATTCACGTTTGAATGAGAACCACAGAGTTCTGTTACTACCCACTACTTCACAGACAATCCCTGGTCTTTAATATTTTAAATCTTCCTACCTTTTTACTTATTGATCAAAGGTGTCACCAGTAAGCCAATGCCACACATACTCCACCAAAAAATGTGGCCATATTTTACAGTTTGAACTAAATGAAAGACCAGTCTGTCAGATGAAGAAGAGCCGGAGTCAGAGATTCAAATTAATAAAGTTTACTAATGATAGTTAGCAGATTCATCAGCAGAAGCCAGCTTTAACACTCACAATGAGTTCCTAGGCCACTCTGCGTACAATCATAAATCAGCATCAATTATACTCTTACATATCGCCATTAACTGTGCCATACATTTAGGTGTTTTAATCTGGTTAAAACACAAATAGAATAGGAACATTTTCACATGGGTGCGTGCGTACAATTCTGAACAATTTCTCAAGCATATAGACGTCAGACATCCACTAGACTCTTTAGAGCTGACCCCAGACCTGTGAAAATTATCCACAATTGAATAGAACACACACACTCACACACACACACACACACACAAAAGTACAGTCTGTTTTTTACCCAAGGATGAGTGTACTCTCAGCAGTCTTATCAAAACTGGTTAAAAACTGGTACAATCTACATTCAGGCAGTTATATTATCACTACACAAAGTCTATCTGAATAAACAGAAAAATCACTTTAGTCAGTATTAACACAATAATAATTATAATATCAAAATCACTTTTGACAGTATTGACACATAGCAATACACATAGGAAAAGTGATATTTTCAAGCCCTTCAGTTCCACTTAAGGCCTCCATGACCTCTGACCAGGTTTGGTGGCTCCTATAAATAGAGTTACAAAGAGAACAGGCACTGAACATTCTTATATTACATTAAGCAATGTGTTATTTGATATTTGATTCAATGTGTTATGATACTTTTCAGAGGTGGAAAGTAGTGAAGTTTTTCAAACTAATTTCAAGAAGAGCACGTGATATAATTGACTGCAGCTGCCCACTCATCTACATTCATTAGTTAGCCAATCAGATCTATCCTAACTCACTATAAGTAGCCTAGCTAGATTTACTCCCTTCGTTTTCCAAAGAAACCCCCCTTCCACCCCTTTCTCCTCCTTTCCTCCTTTACAAAAGGGGAGCTCTTGAGAACCACCTGATCTCGTACTCCCCTCTCATGCTCTATGTTCCTGGTGGTAGCCCTGGGCTCAACTTTCTCCGAGCTCAGGGTTCTCTCCCGGAACAGCATGCCAAACCTGCTAACAGTTGTCAAGCAATATCTAAGTGTGAACTCTTGAAATTAATTACATTTACTCGTGTTACTGTCGTTGAGTAATTCAATTTTTTTGTGAATTTATACATTTTGGAGTATTGTTTAAAAAGTGTCATTTTACTTTTACTTGAGTATTATTTTGCCCTAAGTATTGTACTTTGCTACATTTTAAATCATGTCCGTTACTGAGTTTAAAAAAAATGTACAAGTATAAAAGTAATGCAATAGGGTTAAAAAAAAATCACACTCGTTAATCACATTACAGAAGAAGACATTAATGCAGTGATTGATAAGCAAGACACTGCATGCACCAAAGAGAGAACACATTTGCTGTAAAACAGTTTGTCCAATTACTGTTGCGGGAGTTTGATGTAATCGCTGGATTTTAGAGAGTTTATTAGTAACGTCCCTGTCAAACCCAGCATTGACAAGGCAAGCGAAATGGCTCATTATAAATTAAGTCATGGTGTGCTCTTATAGAGAATGGGAATGTGCATAACATGCTCTACAAATAAAGAAGAAAAGCATATATGAAAATGTTTTTCTGGGGTAGCTTGTTGATGCCCTGTAAGTTACGGATAAACTCGTATATTTATTTGATCCGCTATGGATCCGCTCCACACTGTAAAAAATGGCCGTGATTTCAACAGTAAAAAACTTTAAAAATGCCACAATAAAAATCCGTAACCTGGTTAACAGTATGTTTCCTTAGTATATACAGCGAACAGCAGTAAATTGACTTCCCATAATTCCCTGCATGCCATGTCACTTTTTATGCCTTTTGTTGACATTAATATGGATGTTTTTAGTTGTTTCTCCATCAGTTATGCACGTTAGAGATGAATGTTACATCTAATGTTGATTAACAATGTTTATTTATTGACTTTAATTTTATGCAAGGCAAGGCAAGTTTATTTATATAGCACATTTCATACACAATGGCAATTCAAAGTGCTTTACATAAACAGGAATAAAAGAAACAAGTAAAATAAAAATCAAAACAAATAATAAAAATGCGTAAAAACAAAACAAAACATAAAAACAGGTAAAATGTGATATAAAAGAATGAAGAAGAAGAGAAAAACATGATAGTGCAATCTGTCGGACGCAGCACAGTGCTCATTCAGTAAAGGCACAGCTAAACAGATGTGTTTTCAGTCTTGATTTGAATGTGCCTAATGTTGGAGCACATCTGATCATTTCTGGAAGCTGATTCCAGCAGCGAGGGGCATAGTAGCTAAAAGCCGATTCACTCTGCTTTGACTGAACTCTTGGAACTTCTTGTTTATATGATCCTAAAGATCTGAGTGATCTGTTAGGTTTGTATTCAGTGAGCATATCTGTGATGTATTTAGGTCCTAGGCCATTTAGTGATTTATAGACCAGTAATAATACTTTAAACTCTATTCTGAATGTAACTGGCAGCCAGTGTAAAGACCTGAGGACAGGTGTGATGTGCTCTGATTTTGTGGTTCTGGTTAGAATTCTGGCTGCAGCGTTCTGGATGAGCTGCAACTGTCTGACTGTCTTTTTAGGAAGACCAGTGCATCCAGTATTTTATGCATCTTAAAATACTGGTGTTTAGTAGCTGTGTGAATGACACTGAGCACCTTCTATAGACTGATACACTGTTCTGCTTGTGGGAAAAGTTGTTTGTGATGAGCATTGGTTCATCTTTCCCATCACCACCTGCATGGTGTTAACGTGTCTATCTGTGTAACAAAAGATGTGTGGATGTTGGTAATTCAAAACACAGACATATTAAATTAATTACATTTGCTGGATAAATGTGAAATAACTTTTATGGTTTTTACTGTATTTTTAACGGTGAAACACTGTCAACCACAGCTGTCAGTTTTTTAGCGTAAATTTTACGGATTATTTTTTACAGCACCTTTCTACTTGGAAAGAGCTTTTATAAAGCCATAGTCTATTTTATTCTGAGTGTTTGTGAGATGTTTTTCAAAAGATATTACTATTATTTTTATTTTTGGTTGTGCTTTTAATTGTTTTACATTGTGCACACCTGCACAAACATGGCCGACCACAACTCGGCGGGACATATAGGTTCCTAAGCTCTATTGGCATAATTTGGAACTTTATGATGTAGAAAATAAATGAATGAATAGAACGTGGAAAGTTTAAAATGCTAAAGAATAAAAGCATCTTCAATTCATTGTTCATCATATAATATTCTGGCTTTTTAGACTATAAACCTCATCACACATGGGCACTGCAGTCAGTAAAGCCTGAAATTATCGTAACCTGCACTCCAGGCCCGGATGGGCTAATCGGGAGGACCGGGAGAATTCCCGGTAGGCTGGTCTGTTTTTTGGCCGTGAGGGCCGGTGTCCCTAGCTCCAGAATCTGTTGCTCTCAGCAGTCACACTTTTTAAATTGATGTATTTATTTACTTGACCACAGTCTTTTTATTCAATATTTTACCGCAGCTCTGCTCTTTTTATCGATTTTCTCGCAGCCTCGTGACCATTTGAGGTTCTAAAGCAGCTGTTTTCTCAAAAAAAGAAGTGATAGTGTAATTAGAAACTGAATTGGAAATGACCTTATTTTAATAGTCAGTCGTAAACTGAGGTGGGCCGGTCTGAGGCTTGAAACTCCAGGGCTGAAAAGGAGTCCCACTCCGGCCCTGCTGCACTCTGATAATGTTCCGTATAATTATAGGCGAAATTGTCTGTAGTGTATGAGTGTGTGTGTGAATGTGTGGATGTTGCAGCTGGAAGGGCATCCGCTGTGTAAAAACTTGCTGGATAAGTTGGCGGTTCATTCCGCTGTGGCAACCCCAGATTAATAAAGGGACTAAGCCGACAAGAAAATGAATGAATGAATGAAATAACACAATCACAAAAAACAAAACTACTTATTTTCATGGGGTGCCAACTTCAC